AACACAATCACATATATTCAACCTCAGCTATAATAAGAGAAATGCACATTAATCTGTACTGGGATGCCACGTTTTAACCTATTAGATGGGCCAAAAAGAAAAAAAAATATGACAAGACACTGCACTGCCTTGGGTATGATGAAAATGAGCATTCTTACACAACTGATACAACCCACCAGGAAGGCCATTTTGCTATATCTACCAAAAACCAAATTGCATATATCGTATGTCCTGAGAATTCCATTTGCAGAAATTTCTCTTTAAATATACTCTCCTTTGTGTTAACTAAGATATGGATAAGAATTTTCATTATTCTTTAGTTTGTAATAGCTAAAGATTGGAAATATCTTAAATGTTTATATACATATATTTTTTTTTGGTGAGGAAGATTGGCCCTGAGCTAACACCCATTGCCAATCCTCCTCTTTTTGCTGAGGAAGATTGGCTCTGAGCTAACATCCGTGCCCATCTTCCTCTATTTTGTATGTGGGATGCAGCCACAGCATGGCTTGATAAGCAGTGTGTTGGTCCGCACCCGGGATTCAAACCTGTGAACCATGGGCCGCCAAAGCAGAGAGCGTGAACTTAACCACTACGTCACTGGGCCGGCCCCCCTGGTTATATTTTTGATATATCCATATAATGGAATAAGATTCAGCCTTCAAAAAGAATGAGGTACAGAGCGGGTCTTCCTCAGCAAAAAGAGGAGGATTAGCATGGATGTTAGCTCAGGGCTGATCTTCCTCACAAAAAAAAAAAAAAAAGAATGAGGTAACTCATTACATGGACTAACATTGAATGATCCCCAAGATATATTAAGTGAGAAAAGCAAGTGTTGTAAGTTTTTAAAAATGGATATAGGTAGGTGTAGGGGTGTGTGTGTGTGTGTGTGTGTGTGTGTGTGTAAATTGAAGGGTACATATCTTTTTTCCTTTTTAAAAAATTTTTATCATGAAATATAATATTCCTGCAGAAAAAAACATGAAATATAAATATTGGGCTTAGCTAATTATTCAAGGCAAATACCTACCTAATTCTCACTCTGGTCTGGAAACAGAACGTTGCCAGCTCCTTGCCCAGAAGCCTTCCTCATGCCTCTTTCCCTCCCTCCCCACAATCAAGGAAACCACTATCCTGGTGGAAAGCACTCCCTTGCTTTGCTTTCTAGTTTTACCACCTAACCATGCACTCCTATAGTTTTGCATCCAATACAGTTTTGTTTTGCCTGTTTTAAAACTTTATATAAATTAAAACAAACAATATAAATTCTTTTGTATTTGGGCTTCTTTCATGCAATATTATGTTCAATTTATTTATCCATTCTACTACTGATGGACATTTAAGTTACTTCCAGTTTCTTGCTGTTACAAGTAACGCTACCATGAGCATTTATACATATGTCCTGGTATATCAGCCAAGGATTTCTGTTGGGTATTTTCCTAGGAGAACTGTTTCCTCATATGGTCTATATATGTTTTGATGAAGAAAGCTAAAATGTTTTCCAAAGAGATTCTACCAATTTACATTCCCACCAGCAGCATATGAACTGCTGATATGAGCTGATATATCAGCAGATAAATGTGCTGACATGAGCCTTTGAGCTGCCTACACGGCTCCTCATCCTCGATAACACTTGTCATTGTCAGTCTTCTTAATTTTAGCCATTCTGGTGGGAATGCAGTGGTATTACATTATGGTTTAAATTTGCACTTCCTTGATGACTATAATGAGACTGAACAATATCTCAAGTGTTTACTAGCCATTGGATATCTTCTTTTGTTACACACCTTTTCAAATAAGGCCTCTGACTACCAGATAGTCTGCTTTTTCTTATTGTTTTGTTGTTCCTTATATATTCTGAGCGTAAGTCCTCTGTTATCTATCTCTGCTCCCACTCTGTGGCTTGTGGTTTTCTTCTTAATGGAAATGATTATCATAAAAGTTAGGAGAGTAGTTATCTCTGGGAGTAGGAGAATTCTGGAATGCTGACTATGGACTCTTTCTAGACCTACAGAGTGATAAATCACTAAGCAGTACATGTCTGTTTTGTACACTTTTCTGAAGGCATGTTATTTTTCATAATAAAAACATTTTTTAAAAAATAGGCTTAATCTATGACCCACTAACTTGCCCCCTCTGTATATAGTTAAGAGAGGGGTGTACACATGTACATGAGGATACATGAACAAAAATGTTCATGGCACCATTGTTCATAATTTGTATATTTCACCAAAAGACTTAAAATTAAAAATTGATAAAATTTTTGTTTAGTAGGCCACCTTTTGTGAAATAAAAAGGAGAAAATAAGAATGTGTTCTCAGCAGCTTTTATATGCATAAAGAAACACTAATCATGCAGAGAAAACTAACTAACCTGGTTATATGCATTAGAGAGAAGTGAGCAGATAAGAGAAAGATGAGTAAGAGAATTTAGACTGTATAGCTTTTTATATTTTTTAATTTTATATATTTTTTTTATTTTTGAGCCATGTGTCTATATTATTATTCAAAAAATCAAATAACTATCACTAATATCCTTAGAGTGATAAGATGTGGCATCCATAAAACAAAAATAGCATGCTATTAAAAGAGAATATTCTGAAAACAAAAAGAGCTATTTAAAATAAAAACTATAACAGTATTAATGAGAGACACAAAAGAAGATTTGGAAGATGAAGGTTTTTTTTTTTTTTTGTGAGGAAGATCAGCCCTGAGCTAACATCCATGCTAATCCTCCTCTTTTTGCTGAGGAAGACCAGCTCTGAGCTAACATCAATTGCCAATCCTCCTCCTTTTTTTTTCTCCCCCAAAGCCCCAGTAGATAGTTGTATGTCATAGTTGCACATCCTTCTAGTTGCCGTATGTGGTACGTGGCCTCAGCATGGCGGGAGAAGCGGTACGTCGGTGGGCGCCCGGGATACGAACCCAGGGCCACCAGTAGCAGAGCACGCGCACTTAACCACCAAGCCACGGGGCCGGCCCTGGAAGATGAAGTTTTTAAAAAACTACTAGAAAGGAGAGCAAAAGAGAAAGAAATGGAAATCAGTAGAACAAAGAATTTTTTTAAATGGAGGATCAACAACTGAATAAAAAGAGTTTTTTGAAAAGCAGAAAAAATGTGTGTGTGAGTACAAAAGGACTAGATTGAAAACAGGCTTTTTAAATTCTGTGCAAAAATGATTTCCAACCTTGAATTCTTTTTTTTTTTTTTTGTGAGGAAGATCAGCCCTGAGCTAAAATCCATGCTAATCCTCCTATTTTTGCTGAGGAAGACCGGCTCTGAGCTAACATCTATTGCCAATCCTCCTCCTTTTTTCCCCCAAAGCCCCAGTAGATAGTTGTATGTCATAGTTGCACATCCTTCTAGTTGCTGTACGTGGGACGCGGCCTGAACATGGCCAGAGAAGCAGTGCATCGGTGCGCGCCCAGGATCCGAACCCAGGACTCCAGTAGTGGAGCACGCGCACTTAACCGCTAAGCCACGGGGCCGGCCAGTTATATATATTAAATAAATGTATTTTTTCACGACAATTTCAGACATGTAAAGTTTCATAAAATCCACCTGTCATGCATCCAATTCTCAAGGATATACCAGAGGATGTGCTCCCACAAAATTAGGGGTAAACCAAGAAAGAGGAAGACACAGGGTCCAGGAAACAGGCAAAAAGACACAGGATCCCCAGGAAAGGGGATCTGACACAAGACAAAGGTGAAAAGATTTCCTGGGGGATGGTGAAGTAAAGACATCAAGGTAATAGCTGTGTGTGAAGCTGAGAGAGCAACCAGCCCAGCCTTCAGCAAGTCAACAAGCTCCAGGAGAGATTTCCCAAAGAGAAGACACTGATGCCCAGAGTTGAGACAAGCCCCACCTATGATGAGCTGTGTGAACTTGGGCCAGATAGTTTTTCTCTATGCCCTAGCTTCCCTCTCTATAAAATGGGGATAACAATGGCATCTACTTCTCAAAGTTGTTGTGCGGACGAGTTAGATTACAGAGAGTGTGTATAACAGTGCTGGGCACCATAGTAAACATTGCATGAGTATTTGTAATTATTGTCACTATTATTATTACCTAATATGCTTGAATATACAGAGAGGAGATTTAAATACCTGGGAAGAATTTGGAGTTGAATTACTGATATGTATATAGTAAAGCAAACAAATGACTAAACCAGAAAATTGTTAATTCGTGGGAAAAGAAAGAGTTGTGCAGAAACAGTAATCACAACGTGTGTGTGTGTGTGTGTGTGTGTGTGTGTCCGTAGCCACCTTTGGAAGTTATATGGGAGACTAGAGTCAAAATTGGAGGGTACATATTTTTTCCCTTTGTAAAATATTTTTATTATGAAATATAATGTTCCTGCAGAAAAACACATGAAATATAAATATTGGACTTACCTAGTTATTCAAGGTAAATACCTACCTAATTCTACATGACTACATGACTCAACTATAAATAGTCACAGTAATAAACACTGATGGTGGATCTCATCAAAACAATATTTACAGGCAAACAGTCTATGTGAGTAGGGGTGCATGGAAAAGCTAAATCTCTACCTTCCATAGTGGAAAGTCAATAGATAATGTCCCAAACTAAAGCAAATAGAATCCATTAAAAAGATTAAGAGTGCTTGCCTCTAGGGAGCTGGAATCTGGGAGAAGCAAAGCAGGGAAGAGCCATTTTTTTAAGACTTAGAGAACTATTAGACACCTTTTGCCACTTGTAAATAAAACTAAAAAAACTATTCACAAAATATATAAGGATAAAGCGTTATTAACCTTAATATTTAAAAAAACTTTAAAAATCCATAGGCTAAGATAAATAAATCAGCAATGGACAGAAGAAGGAAATTCACACAAGGGAAATGAATGACCAATAAAAATGGGGTGGGGGGAGAGATTATCCTGTCTGGTAAAAAAGTCATACAAACTAAAATAATGAGATACTATCTTTCCTTCTGAATGAATTCCTGCCCCTGGCCGCCTCTTCCTCCTCCTTACCTCTCGGTTGTCACATCCCCCTGGAATCAGGGCCAGGGATGGCCCGCGAGAGCTCTGGTTAGCTGGCATGTTCCCACTGGGCCTCAGCCCTCGGGCTCTCTTTGCTGACAACTCTGCTCTTCCCAGGAGCCCAAGAACAGGCAGGGTCCGTGGACTCAACCAGAGCTGCTGGGGCCAGAAGGAAGATCCTGCAGCTTTCAGTATGGGGTCTAGCCCAGGGACTCCACAGAGACTCCAAGAAACCTGGAAAGACAGTGTCCACATGGTCAGTCACTCCACATTCACCCCACAAACATTTCCTGGGGGCACTAAAGCATAGTTCACAGCACTGGATACTGCGGGGTAGACAAAGTCCAGTCAACACCTATTCTAGTTATTGGAACATGAGCAAGACCATGAGGTTTGGACTAAAATTAATAAAGCTTTAAATTCTAGCTCTGCCAACTTTTAGCTATGAGAACATGAAAACATTTCTTCAGTTTTATTTTTCAAAAGGCATCAAAACTATTTATCTCAAGTGGTTGTGAAAATTAAATGAGATGATGTTTCTATGGCACTTAGCACCGATTGGCCCAGGTAAACATTTAATTCATTTTAGCAAGTATTGTTATTATAAAGAATCATGTAATGTACAGAAGCAGGTACCCCACTTAATTTGCACAACAATCCTGTCATCTGTTTGCTATAATTATTATTATTTCATTTTATGCATACAGAAACAGAGGTTTAGTGATGTTATGTCAAACTCAGTCTACCTGGATTCAAAGTTCATGTTCTCAACACTACACCACATGGTACCTTTTACATGGTAGGCTCAAAATAAACGTGGTTCTGTTTAATAAATGTCAAAAACATGACTGTGATTTGAAATAAAAAATTTAAGTTTCTTGAAACAGAAGAGACATGCCAAAAGGAAAATATTAATAGCTTGGGATAAAATTTAAAAATTTTATTTATATTAATAATAAATTTTATTTATTTAAAAATTACCTCAAAAATATCTAGAGGTAAAACCATTTCTCATGTTGAGGGAACCAGGGAGGAGAGGGTGTCTCTGTGTCCAAGTTGAGGTACAATTTCATTCTGATCAACTAATAGAGGCACTACAGATCTAGTCATTCATGCTGGGAAAAACAAAATATTCACGTAAAATGAAGAGGAACATCAAAAGACAGAAGTAAGAAATGGGATGAAGAGGAAACAAGAAAGTAAAATAAATAAGGAGTAAAATAAAATAAAAGGAATGAACAAGTTAAATTTTAAACATACAGATGTTGAACCAAAGAAAGAGAGAATCTGCTTTCTTTTCTTATGCCCATGGAACTTTTACAAAATTTCATCAAATAACTTGGCCACAAATTAGTTTAAATAAGTTGAATTTTAAAAAGTAAATTAAAAAAATAAAACACATTTTGGACATTTATGTATATCCAGATAGGCTTACACACTTGTAAGCATACAAATGTGTGAACACACATACACATGCATATATGCATTTAAAAAATTCTGAAAGATGTTTTAATGTTGGGAATTGACAAGCTACATTCTCTGATCTAGTATAAAATATTCAACATCATTAGTCACTAGGGAAATGCAAATCAAAACCAAAATTTTCCAACCATAAGGAGACCACTTCACATCCATTAAGATGGCTAAAATGAGAAAAAAAGACAATAACAAGTGCTGGTGAGATGTGAATACATTGTAGCTCTCATACATTGCTGGTAGAAATGTAAAAATGGTGCAGCCACTCCGAAAAACAGTTTGGGAGTTCCTCAAAATGTTACCCATAGAGTCACCATATGATCCAGCAATTTCACTCCCAGGTATCTACCCAAGAGAAATGAAAACACATGTCCACTCCAAAACTTGTATACAAATACTCACAGCAGTATTATTCACAGTAGCCACAAAGTGGAAACCGCCTAAATAGCCATCAACTGATGAATGGATAAACAAAATTTGGTATATCCATACAATGGAATATTATTTGGCAATAAAAAAAGAAGTATTGATACTACAACATGGATGAACCTTGAAATTATTATCTTACATGAAAGAACCCAGTCACAAAGGACCACATACTTTATGATTCCGCTTATGTGAAATGTCCAAAATAAGCAAATGCACTGAGAGAGAAAATAGAGTAGTAGTTGCCTAGAGCTGGGAGTGTAGGGTGGCATGAATGGTGACTGTCTACTAATGTGTACAAGGTTTCTTTCTGGGGTATTGAAAATGTTTTAAAATAAGATTGTGATGATGGTTGCATAACTCCATGAATGTACTAAAAACCCTTAAATTCTATACTTTAAATAGGTGAATTTTAAGGTATTGGAATATATCTAAATAACTCTGTTTAAAAATTTTTACGGTATTGGAATACAAATAAATCTGTTTTATATATCTAAACAAATCTGTTTTAATAGAAAAAAAACACTTTCCTAAATAATCCAGGATCAAAGTGGGAAATCAATACAGAAGCTATGTAATTTTTACCAGAAGTCATGGAACACACTAAAGTTATATACAGAGTGAAATTTACAGCTTTAAACAGGTGTATTTTTGATTAAAAATAAATACAACAAAAAAGAGCTATGTATTCAACCTAAAACATTAGAAGCAGAAAAAAGAAAACTAAGCAAAAAAACCCCCAACAACCAGGAAGTAGTAATTAATAAAAATAAATAAAACCTTAAATAAATCAAATAAATACAACAATAGTGGGTTTAAAGAAAACAAAGAGCTGGTTCTTTGAAAGGACCAATGTCATAGATAACCCCCTTGCAAGCCAGATAAAGAGGAAGATTGGCCCTGGGCTAACATCCATGCGCATCTTCCTCTACTTTACATGTAGGACACCTGCCAAAGCATGGCTTGATAAGCGGGGTGTAGGTCCACACCCAGGATCTGAACCTATGAACCCCGGGCCGCTGAAGTGGAGCGCGCAAACTTAACCACTACGCCACCGTGCTGGGCTCTGTACAGCAAAATATTTCAATACTGATGTTAAACAAGTGGTTCCCTAGCAAAATGTAAATTAATAAAGTTAATACAGGGGAAAAAAGACAGAAGAGAACAATAAATGTAGAAGAAACTAGAGGAGAAATCGACATAACACAACAAATACAAATAGGAAGACTCTGAAAGGCAAAAAGGAAAGGTGGACAGCCCTCAGGGCCTGAGGAATAACACAGTGGTTAGTTCCCAGGGTTTTATTTTCCCTCCCATATATCACAAACAGGGCACTGGAGATGCTTATAACTCAGAACTGTCAACAGGCACAGATGAAAAAGCCCTAAGAAAAGCCTACTCCCCTTAATCAAAGGACCAAGAAAAGGGTGGCCTAACTGAACATACCCTACTCCAGCCAAACACTAATAGAATACACATTCTCTTCAAGCACCCATGGAACATTCTCTAAAGCTATACCATACCCAGGGTCATAAAACAAACCTCAACAAACTGAAATCATACAGAGTATGTTCTCTGATTATAATAGCATCGAACTAGAAATAAATAACAGAAAGATAACAGAAAAGTCTCCAAACACTTGTAAACTAAATAATACACTTCTATATAATCGATGGATTTCAAGGGAAATTAAAAAGTAATGAATGAAAATATAACATATCAAAATTTGTGGGATGCAGATAAAGCAGTGTTGAGAGGGAAATTTATAGTACTAAATGCTTATATGAGACAAGAATTAAGGTCTTAAATCAATAATCTTAGCTCCCACCTCAAGAAACTAGAAAAATAAGAGCAAAGTAAATCCATAGTAATAAATATAAGAGCAGAAATCAATGAAATTGTAAACAGAAAAAAATAGAGAAAATCAAAGAAACCAAAAATCTGGTTCTTTGAAAAGATCAATCAAATTGGTAATCCTCTAGCAAGACCGACAAAGATAAAAAGAAGATACAAATTATCAATATCAGAAATGAAACAGGAGATATAACTACAGATCCTGCATTGATTAAAAGGAAAGTAAGTGACTACCACAAACAACTTTATGCACATAAATTCAACAACTTGGATGAAATAGCCCAATTCCTCACAAAACACAAACTCCCACAACTCATCCACTATTAAAATAGATACTCTGAAAAAACAGTAAATACATAATCTGAATAGTCATGTAACTACTACAGAAATTGAAGCCATAATCAAAAAGCTTCTTGGAAAAGGAAAGGAAAGGAAATTTCCAGGCCTAGATGGTTTCACTGGAGAATTCTACCAAACATTTAAAGAAAAATTAGCACAATTCTACACAATCTCTTCCAGAAAACAGAAGAGAGAACACTCTCCAATTCATTCTATGAGGCCAGTATTACCCTAATACTAAAACCAGACAAAGACAGTACAAAAAAAGAAAACTACAGACCAATATCTCTCATGGACTTAGACACAAAAATCCTCAAAACAAAGTAATAGCTAATCACTTCCTGCAATATATAAAAAGAATTATACACCACTACCAAGTGACGTTTATTTCAGGAATGTAAAGCTGGTTCAATATTCAAAAATCAATCAGTATAATCCCCCATATTAACAGGCTAAAAAAGAAAAATCACAAGATCATATAAATTCATACAGTGTTGACAAAATTCAACACCCATTCATGATAAAAACAGACACAGATCAATGAAACAGAATAGAGAACCTAGAAATAGCCCCACACAAGTATGGCCAATTTATTTTTCACAAAGGTGCAAAACAAGTCAATGGAGGAACGATAATCTTTTTAACAAATGGTGCTTGAGTAATTGGACATCCAAATAAATGAACCTCGATCTAAGTCTCACAAATTACACAAAACTTAACTCAAAATGGATCATGAACAGCAGGAAGGACAAATCACTATCACAGTGGAGAATTTCTCTGTCCTCTCTTAGTAAAAGAAGAAGTGGACAAAAAAGAGTACAAATTTTGTATGATACAATTGACAACTAGACACTGAAACATTATTTTTGAGTTATACATGGAACATTTATAAAAATTCACCACGGACTAGGCCATGAGTCTCCTCATACTTCAAAGAATGAGCTTCACATAGACATTTTTCTGACCACAGAAAACTAAGATTAGAAATCCACTAAAAAGATAAACTTTTGGAAACTGAAAACGCACTTCTAAATAACTCATGGGCAAAAGAAAAATTATCAACTCTTAGAAAACACTTAGAACATAATGCACCAAACCTTGTGGGTCTTAGAGTGAACTTTAAGACCTTAACGTTGATAGGAGAAAAGCCTGCAAAATAATGAGCGAATCATCCAACTACCTAGTTAAACAACCGATTCCATCCTGACCACATAGAATCCCCCAACACTCACCGTCCCGGGCCGCCCATCACCTGCACATCCCTCAGGCACAGAGCAAGGAGAGCCTCCTGACAACAACTATTCAACCACGGCGGAGAACCGCAGCCATTTCCGGTCACCACCCCTAGCACCGCCCCTTCTCGGGGTTTGGGGCGTCGCACGAAGGGGGCGTGGTTCTGCGCATGGGCAAAACCACTTTCGAAGCCGCTGTCAGCCGCGTCGACATGGAGCTGTTACGGAGTCGGTGCTTTGGCGCATTCAGCGCCCCTCGGCATTGTTCTCAGGCAGGAAACATGGCCGCGCCCAGGTCGCGCTTCCTCATGGGGTACGCCATATTCCAGGAGTGTTCGTTCCGTACCGAGGATGAGGAAACCTCTAAACTCGCAGAGCGGAGTAGTGGAGCTGTCTTACAGGTTGGGGAGAGCAGGGGTGGGGACGTTTCTCTGGGCAGGCTTCCTGGAGGAGGGGTCTTTGGCTCTGTACCCTATGGATCTGGGTAATAATATTCAGAGAAGCTGAGAGGCCTCTGGAAAGACGCAGAGGTGCGAGTGGCTGTTATCTCCTGGCAGATACCACAGGATGAGAAGGGGGGAGAAATCAGACTGTTTATAGGCCTCTCCCGGAACACACCAGGAAGGAAGAAGGGGAAGAAATCAGGGATCTGCAAGCCTTCGTAGGATATAGCGCTGGGGAAAAGGGGAGAAGTCAGTGTTAGATTCCCCGCTGCCCGTGCTTTGGGGGTTGGCTGTGGGGTTTGAATGCTTCCATAATCGACATTATCTCCCACTCCCGCTACCCCAGCTAAAATAAAAGTATATACCAATAATAATTTTTTATTTTTCCTTAATCTAATGCAATATGTACATAAAAACATCTTTAGGAAACTTTATTTTTATTTCCTCATAAAATAAAATCTGTGTAGTGATAGTGCTCTTAGTTTGCAAATGTAGCTTTAAGACAAGACCTTTCAAAAGGTTTGCTGCCCCTTCCCTTCCAATATGGAAATTATGGAGATGCCCCTGCCCTTCTGGGAGAGGTCACTGGGGCAGAAAGGGAAGAAGTCGTGCTGCCCTTCACCTGGGAATGCTCACTTATCCTTCAAAACCAAGTTCAAATATCGCCTCCTCCAGGGAATCTCCTGACAGAGGTAGAAGGCCCTGGGCCCCACTGAAGGCCTTTCTGAAATCCTCAGGTGAGGAAGGTATTTTGAGGGGACCTGGCATAGGCTCAGGTGTGGACTTGCTGGATGCTCTCAGTCCGGTCACATTCCCTCTGGGCCTCAGTTTAACAATCTGGAATGTAAAAGTGTCCTACTCCAATCAACCTAAGACCATCTGGGACTAATTTGTAGTCTGATCAATGAGGGAGACCCCACACCAAGAGGAACCATGAGAGGGCTCACTAAACAAAGGAAAAGATAGAATTATAGGATTCTGAGGGATGGTGAAGTTCAGATGAAATGTAAATGAAGCTGTTTTGGTAAGCTCAAAGCAAGGCTCTGTGCAGACTGTGAAGTGAACCCAGAGTCCTGTTTCCTTGGAAATAATAAAGTTAAGATAGATGTAGAATGTTATGTCTAGATACCCCTTATCTCTGCACCGGGGTTGGAAATCTTGCCTGCTTCTTTGTGTCTATGTGATTTAGAATCTCCAGCAAGAGTGGGATGTTTCATTCATACTGATATTTCAAACAGCAGTTTCTGATAGTCTATGATTGTAGAGAACAGTTTCTCAGTGCCTAAGAAAGCAGTAGTCCCTCAAAGTAGGAATTCTTTATGGCATTACAGCTGCTGCACGTCCTAGGGAGAAATAACGTTTCTTGTTAATTTTGCATCTGACTTTATCTGTGTCTGTTCTCCAAGCCTGATGAATGGAAGGGCAGGTTTTTATAGTCTGAGATAATTTTACTTTCTTAGAGGGTTGGACTCTCTAATTATCCCAGATTCTCTCTCTGTCCCTATTGCCCTGGTCTGGGTGTTTGTTGAATGAATAAATGAAAAAAAGAAACGTAATCAATCATTGGAAGCACAGTTGGCATGCATACACTTGTAATAGAGTGCCAGGAATCATTGTTAATGTTGCTGAGTGTCATAATAGTACTACGGTTATGTTGAAAAAAAATAGGTCTATCTGTTAGACCATTTCAGAGAAGAAGGAAAGATACAGCCAATAATCATATGAAGAGTTCTTCATTCATTAGTGATCAAGAGAATACAAATCAAGACGTGATGAGATGACATCTTACATCCATTCAATTTGCAAAAATGTAAGTCTGACGATACTAATTTTTGTGAATTATTTACATACCTCACAATTCAGCCAGTCCACTCTTAGGAATATATCCAAGAGAAACACTTGGACAGGAAACGTAGGATATGCATGGCATCCTGTTCACAACAGGAAAACCTGGAAGCAAACATTGATGCTCATCAACAGGAGTCAAAATGAATGAACTAGAACAATATCCAACAATATGGAGGAATATTAAGGGAAAACAACCTGTAATTCCTGAAAGATTATATAAAGCATTACACACTTTTATAAAGTTAAAAGCTACTAATATAAAGACCATGAAATATTTAGGATTTTGTGTAGTTGTGATAAAATTATATTAAAAGGAAATTAAAAAACTGATGAATTTGGGATTCAGGATTATGTTCACCTCAGTTGAGGGGAAGCAGGGCAGTGAGTTGGGGGACCACATGGGTAGATGGAAGTTACTGTCAAGGCCATACCTTTTCTTTTGGGTGGTAAGTGCATAAGTGCTAATTATATGATTAAAACTAAATATTTAAATTAATTGAGAAAATTAGATGAATATCTAAATGTAAAAAGAGAAAATCTGCATGGAGAAAAGAGCTGTCCCTTCCTTGAATGGAGCAAGAAAATCTTTGGCCCCAGCCCAGAGATGCCCCCCAGTGGTGGGATGAGCAGGGAGGCAGGAGCTCTGTGGCCTTGACACTTAACTGTGGCCCCTGCCAAAGACGCTCTGGCTCCATGGCTCACTCCATCGCGCCACTCATGTATCTGCTCAAATGTCTTTTCTTCGGATGTCTTTCTTCCCTGAGCTACCCCACCACTCTCTAGCTCCTCAGCATGTTTTAGTTTTCTTCATAGCCTTCCTTTTTATTGGAAATGATATTTATTTACTCTTTGCTCGTTTACTTGTTCATGCTGATACTGCAGTGATTTCTGCCTCTCACATATGTGTAGTAATCAACTGCTTTATTTTTGGTATTTTTACCACACATGTAGAGAGCAGCAAAACACACATGGGATTCATTTTTTTAAAAGATTAATTCCTTCCAAAAGACTCTGCAGGCATCTCTGGATGACATGACTAACTATAAAATTGATTTGGTATGAGTAATGCAGGAAATACTAAAGAGATGGAGAACTTATAAGTAAATAAGACTCAATTTTTTCATTCATCAAATATTTATTGATCAGTCAGTGGTGAAACAAAACAGCTCCCAAAGCCCTAGCTTCGTGAACCTGGCATCCTAGTGGGGAAGAGAGGCAATAAACAGTGTGTTAAAAGGTGATAACTGCTAAAGGGAGGTGGATGGGGCAGAGTGAGGTGAGTTGGAAATGCAGGGGACAGCCACCTTAAATAGGCAGGTCAGAGTCTCCTTTTAAACTCTACCACTGACTGTCCTGCCCTGGAGCAGGCGAGTCGCGAATCTTCACATTTATGTGGGCGTCCAGTTGAAAAGGAGGAAGAATGCAAGGTCAGAATATTTTCATATCTGCAGCTAAGGACGTAATGATGAGCACCTCTTCGTCTTCCGGTAGATGCAAGGAATGATATCCACAGTCTTCTGATCAGTCTTGTCTTGTATGCCTTCCTTTAGTAGGTGAAAAATATTTTACAATATTGTCTTCCGCTGACAGAGGTTGAGAAAACCTCATAAAAGTATCAGGTTCAGTGGCTGAGCAGGGACCTCCAGACCAACAGCCACAACCATTTACACATGTCAGTAGATAGCAGAAATTTTTCACCCTACACAAAAGTTGAAAGAATTGTACTATGAACATAGAAATACCCTCCACCTCAATTAACTTTTGCCACGTTTGCCTTGTTTTTTTATACAAACATACATACAGGCCTCACCATTTAAAAATAATGTCCAAAGAAAATGATTTAAGTGACTGAAATAGAGGTTAAAGGCTTTATTCAGCTGATGTGCATCAGGTAACTCCCTGATTAGAGCAGGATTAGGGTTTTTATAGGGGAAAGCTGAGTATTTGTCCTTGCAGTTTGGGCTTAGGTTTTACTTTAATGGAAACTCACAGTTGGGGGAGCATTCCTGTTTTTGTGCACCTCGCTTGATCAGAACCCCATACATCAGAACAGCATTTTCCAAGAATTGTTTTTGTAAGCCTTGTGGATTATCTGCTAATCAAAATTCATGTGGGAGGGGGAGAGGTAGATAGCAAAAAAAGAAAGGGACAACAGTGGAAGCAATGGGGAAACTGAGGACTCTAGCATCTTTGATTTATAATACCTTTTTACACTAAGCTGCAGACATTATGCTCCTTCAAATCTACATACTCAGCGTGTATCTCCTGAGGGACTGAATACACAAATGGACAATGGCCCGACCTATATATGACAATAGACCTCTGACCTACGACCTCCGCAGCAACAAGCCTGGGAAGCCAAACCACTACCTCTGCAGCAGTCGGTCTAGATGGCAGGACTTGGTCAGTGACCGCCAGCCTCCTCATTTTTTGCCCCCACTTTCCACTTCCAATTCAGGTCCAACCAGGGACAGCCAAATCTGCTCCCTATATCAATCATGTAGGATGCCCTGCTTCTAGTTAGCCCGCCTCCAGCTTCCCCAGGCCAACGGCCTCCAATCGGAGCATGCCTGAAGCCTTCCCTTTTATTGCTATAAAGCTTTCCCACTCCCCTGGTTGCCTTTGAGTCTCTGCCAACCACAAGGGATGGTGGCTGACTCCCTTGCTACAGAAAGCTCTGAATAAGTAGTCTTTGTTCCCATTTGGGTCACCTTCGTATATTTCCACACTGCTAAGAACGAGGACTTTCTGGGCTGACCCGGTGGCATACTGGTTAAGTGTGCGTGCTCCGCTTCGGCAGCCCGGGGTTCAGATCCCGGGTGCACACCGACGAACCACTTGTCAAGCCATGCTGTGGCGGCGTCCCATATAAAAAAAGTGGAGGAAGATGGACACGGATGTTAGGCCAGGGCCAGTCTTCCTC